GACTCACAGCTCTGCATGGCTTGGGAGGCCTCAGGGAACTTACAATCATGGCAGAAGGGAAAGCAAACACGTCCTTCTTCACATGGTGGCAGGAGAGAGAAGTGCTGAGCAAAAGAGGGAATAACCCCTTATAAAACCATCCAATCTTGTGAGAACTCACTCACTCTCACAAGAACAGCATGAGGGTAACTGTTCCCATGATTCAGTTACCTCCCACCGGGTCCCTCCCACAACACAGGATTATGGGAACTACAAGATGAGATTTGGGTGGGGACACAGCCAAACCATATCACCTGGACATCAAACTGCTGTCCTCCTCCAAGTTTTCATACTTTCAGAGAAATTGGTGATGACTTTCCTGACAGGATTACTTAATTTGCAAAGAGATCATTTATAATTACCATGAATCTTACTGCTTTTGTTTAATGAATATACCTGGGAGTGAGACAGCTGTGCACTGTGTAAACTGAGGTCCAGCCACCTGTATGTGAAGGCCAGAGGCTTCCCTGCTAGCACCTGGTGCCTTCACCCTTTGTACACCACAAAGTTTTATTTGTCAAAAAATAGTCATAACCTCACCATTCAAGGGCGGTTGACTGCTGTTAGCTTTGGATATTGTTCCTGTGTGGCTAGTTATGTCTTTTCAGTATTTGAGAGTGTGTTTTCACAGATCTTACATTTTAAAGAAAATTTTACACATTTGTGATTATACTATGAAATCATTTTGCATTATTTTTTCCACTTGCCTTGATGACATAAATTCTAAAAGTTCTTGTCAGAGATATAATGTCCCTCTTTGAAATGAAGAAAGGAACCACAAGGTGCCCTCTCCTTCCCTGCCCTTCCTCATGCTGAGACAAGCCCTCAGTCACTCTGCCTCCTCCTCAGCTCCGCTCCTGAGCACAGGCAAGCCCAGCCGTGACCCAGAAGCGACACTGATGATTAGTAAATTAATTCTGTGCTGAGTGCCGACTGGATGCTGTGCTGAGCCACTGTGGTGGGTGTCTCAACTCCTGTGACCACCTTGGGAGATGAACATCATGGGATTCACTGAAAAGTCTTGCTGACTTGCATTAGTCCTGCTCACAGCACCATTTGTAGGTGACGGTCTTTGGGAGTTCTCTACAGTCATTTCTGAACCTCAGATCCTGAGGAGACTGCCTCAGTTCTCTGCTGCTCTCTCTCACTCCTCCTTATTTTCTCTGTCTATCCCTCTGTGCTGTGGTCAGTGTGGTTGTTTTCAGTTCCATCTTCCAGTTCCCAAATTCTCTCTTCAACTGCCTGCTCTCTGTTTAACCTTCCTATTGAATCTTTAACTTCACCTATTGTATTTTCACTGTCAGACATTCCTTCCATCTGGTTCTTTTTCCGATCTGCACTGTGCCCTTGTTCTACTGCAGCCTTTGTTTCTCTACAGCTTCACAGATAGTTATTCAACACTCTGCATTAGATTGTTCCAGTGTCTGAGGCTCTGCTCATTGTTGTCTCTGCTGACACCCACTCATGTTGGGTCTGTCCTTGGGTTTTTCGTAGTGAACTCATATTCAAGTGGGCTCACTATTTGGAACTCCTGAGGGCCCCTGTTGGGCTGTTTTCTTTCTGGAAGGATTTGCATTAATATATGTGGCTTCCAGGAGTGTTGCACCCAGGACAACACTGCTCCCCGAGGGCCATGGCCGAGCTGGATGGAGGGTCTCAGGTTGAGGGGACAGCCGTGCTGTGGCCGAGGCTCACCATGGGGTACCCGGCTGGCCCTAGTGGCATTGGCATTTTCTAACTGCTTCCCCCTCTATTCCTTCCTTGTCTCATTTCAGGGATTTCCCTATTTCCCTTTACTCCTTTGGAAGTAGCGGTATATTAAAAAGCATATTTGAGTGGGACATGGAGGCTCACACCTGTAATCCTAGCACTTGGGGAGACCAAAGTGGGAGGATTGCTTGAGGCCAGAAATTCAAGACCAGCCTGGGCAACATAGTGAGGCCCTGTCTCTACAAAAAATATACAAATTAGCTGAGCATGTTGGTGAACTCCTGGAGCCCAGCTACTTAGGAGGCTGACATGGGAGGATTGCTCAAACCCAGGAGGATTGAGACTGCAGTGAGCCATGATTGTGCCACTGTACTCCATCCTGGTTGACAGAGCGAGACTGTAAAAAAAAAAAGTGTGTTTATCTCTCTACTGTCTTTAAAATAATTTCCATAAATTTAAAACTGTTTGAAAAGGTAAAGTTTACTTTTAAAACAGCTCTATACTTTACCTGCATCAGTGGCACTGTCTTGGAGCCTCCCAGAGACTCTGGTCTAGCCCTACGGGCCCCCAGCCTGTGCCCATCACAGGAGCAGCGACAGCCCGTGCCCACCTTCCTCGGCCTCTCGGTGGGCATCACACGCTTCCTGGCCACCTTCTCCTTCAGTCTGTTTGACCTCTGGGACACCCCTCTCTCCTGGTTCTCGAGTTTCAGCTAATTTGGGGGATGTAAATGCTGTGTGTATAGAGATTTTCCAGAGCACTTTGTTCAGCCTGCCAGATTCTGAGAATTGAATTTTACTCATGAGCGTGACATTTTATATTTATGAAGTTTACATTTTATGATTTATCTTTCAGATATTATTGATAGCATTTTTGATTTTTGTATGGCCTTGTGGATTTTCTTCTCATAATCTCAAAGGTATAGTTTGCCTGTGATATTATTTATTCATTTTGAGACGAAGTCTCACTCTGTGACCCAGGCTGGAGTGCAGTGGCACTATCTCGGCTCACTGTAGCCTCCACCTCCCGGGTTCAAGCGATTCTCCTGCCTCAGCCTCTCGAGTAGCTGGGATTATAGGCATCCACCACCACACCTGGCTAATTTTTGTATTTTAGTAGAGACGGGGTTTCATCATGTTGGCCAGGCTGGTGTCAAACTCCTGACCTCAGGTGATCCACTCACCTCGGCCTCCCAAAGTGCTAGAATTACAGGCGTGAGCCACTGTGCCCAGCCTGCTGTGATATTATTTAGATTGCAACATGATCGTGGATGATTTACTGTGGGCATGGAAGGAATGACAGCTTTCCAAAGTGTATATGTCAGTACCTGTGATGTGGCTGCCCCATAGCCTCTGATAAAAACCAGTCCCTGTGGCTGAGGGCCGAGGGCCACATGTTGGCTTGAGGGGTGTGTGCTCTTTCCTCTTCCTGGCCGACGAGAGGACAGTGAAGAGGTGGATGCAGACTGCCGTGTGTTTGCACTACTGGGAAGTGGGTCGGGGTGGCGGGACCCTCTGAAGCTGGCCCCAGATGGTCTCACACAGTGCCTGTTGGGGGGCTTACTTTGGGTGCCAGAGGACAGACTCTGAAGGGGAGAAAGATGTGCATAGCTGGTGTAGGTTGCCGGGCCAGGGATGGCAGTGGGCTCCGGATGCCCAGGCTGCATGGGGGCGTGGTTGCCCTTGCTGGCCGGCCGGGAGGCAGGACTGGGGCCCTGCGCTAAGCATGGGGTAGTCAGACAGGAAGTGCAGAATTCCAGTGGGTGCGCAGCTCATGTTAAAACGCACACAGCGCGTGTGGAGGGCCACGGTAGGGGCAGCAGCTGGAAGTCCTGGCTCCTTTTCCTTGGTTCCCTTCCCCTTGGGACGTTTCTCTGGGCCTCACTTGTTTGGATTTTGGTGTGGGGGGTCTTAAAGCCCCAGTGTCCTCCACTTCTTGGGGGTGGCCAGGAGGTACCAGGCTGCCCCTCACGGCACCTTCTCGTTTGCTCCCCTGGCCCTGGCAGCCCTTACCTTGGCAGAGAGGAGGACAGAAGTGGGTCTTTGCCAGGCTGTCCGGGAGGTCCCCACGTGAGGGGGTTCCTGCCTAGATAGCAGCAGAGTGCCCGCCCAGGGATCGGATCAAACATGGGTTTGTTCAGCCTCTGGAGCTCCATTCTGCTCAGCCCCTCTCGCTTCCTGGCATCTGTGTCCCCTGTTGAGCCTGCCCCTTCTGATTCCTCTCCCTCCTGGGCTGAGTCCCGGGCTTGTCCCGCACCTGCCTGATGGCTCTGTGCCCTGGGCCCTTCCTGCCAGTGCAGCGCCAGGTTGCCCTGATCAGGGCTCCCATCGGGGCCGCTGTGGCTTCCTGTTCTTTGCGGCTTCCTCCTGGCTCAGCTGACTGCCTCGAGCTCTCAGCCTCTTCCTGGTCATGCTGGCCTTCCAGTACTGCCTGCCACCCCTTATGCATAACTTGACTTGTTTGTTCTTGTCCCTGGTGCCTTTAAGCCAGCCACCCTGCTCTCCTCCAGTTCCTTCCACTCTTCCAAGCCCCTTCCTCGGAAGCTTCTCCCCAACCCTCCTGCTGGTGGCCGCTCTTGTACTGCTTGGGCGGGCAGGCACTGGGTCTGGGGCTCGACTCTGGGCTTGACTCCTCTCCTGCTGCCCCCAGTGGTCGTTGCACCTCTCTAGGCCCCGGTTCCACCCCTGTGGGAGGGCAGTGATGCTGGAGAGCACTGGGGGCGGCAAGCGTGGCCTTGGGTGGCATCATGGCACATGGGCACTGAGCGGGCTGTTGGTGGCCATCCCTGAGTGTGGCCCTGGGTGGCGTCACAGCACGCGGGCACTGAGTAGACTGTTGGTGGCTGCCCCCAAGTGTGGCCCTGGGTGGCATCACGGCACATGGGCACTGAGCGGGCTGTTGGTGGCTGTCCCTGGTGCGTGTGTCACTTACAGGCCATGATACTACTGAAGTTTATGAAGTTGGTTTCATTGACGCTGTTACTAAGACTGTAATGTCAGACATGCTGGGATCTGTTCTTTTCAAATGAAAAGGATGACTTCCTCTTGTTGGGTATCACCCAGTCTGGGCGGAGTGGGAGCTGTGACTCTTGATTCATTGGGCCGTCTGGCTTTCCCGGGACACCTCCACCTGGAGAGTGCCTCTGAGAACCTCCCAGCGTCTGCCCGTTGTGTTCCTCAGATGGACATTTCATTTCCTGGAGTTTTGTCATGAGGCTTAATTAACTCATGTCTCTCTCTCTTTTCTTTCAGTCTGCAACTGTGTCTGATGGCGGTAAGTCACAATTTCTGATGTATATATTTTTTATTTTTCATAAAGTTTTCAAATTGTGAAAGTGTATGTGCCGTTTGATGCCCTCAGAAAAGATGAGTTGTTTTCCCTGTCTCCTTGTGGGAGGGTTCTAGGTGAGTTAATTTTGGGGGTGCTTTCTGTGGCACCCAGGTGGCCTCGGTGTGTATTGTGAAAGCTGTTTAAGAGACCTGCCGTGGCTCTGAACACCAGTGTGATACAGCGCTGTGTGTCTGAGGAGTGCACCCACCTGCCTGCCTGTGTCTGACAAGTTAAAACGTGTTTTTGCTCTTCCCTTGTATAACCAGCTTTTAAACCAGAAAGTTAAGATTTCAAAGTGCTTTCTGGATTTGAGCAATTCAGGAAATTTGGGTGAGACCCAGAATTTTCTCAGGAAAAATATAATAGATGAATTGAGAGTGTGGGATGAAGAGGAATCAAAAACTTACTTTCTGTGTTTAAAGAATTTTGTGCACAGGGATTCTTTTTATGGACTGATTGAAAAGGAAGTAGGCAGGAATGTCTTATTTCACTGAAGATTTCTCTGATGTCATCTTTATCATTTTGGTTCAATGATTAAAAAAAAAACTCTCCCAAGTAAGGAGAGTTCCTCCCAAATATGCCTCTTTTTTTTTTTTTTTTTACAAGAAAGTAACACAACAGTCCGCAGGCTCTCGGGTTTCATTGTCACCTCACGCTTTTGCCCCCACTTCTGTCCCTGAGAGCTGGATTAGGTGCACCTGGTGTCGCTGTGGGCCAGGGATGGGCTGAGGCACAGGCTGTGGCGCACAAGCTGCCCAGGGGCCGGTGAGTTTGAGGTACCGCCATATTTGTGCATTAAAGAGAAACCAAATGTTCTCTCAACTTTCTCTGGTCCTGCAGCTGCTGGCCCCGGTCCTCAGCCTCAGAAAGGGCTGCTGTCCCCAGGTAGGCAGACAGAGCTCAGAGCCCTCGCAGGCCTGCCGCTCTGTGGGAAGGCAAGGAGGGCCCCAGGTGGGCGGACAGAGCTCAGAGCCCTCGAGGGCCAGCCGCTCTGTGGGAGGAGGAGCATATCTTGGGTTACACACACACGGCACCTGAAGCTGAGACCAGAGGGATCCCGACACTCGTGTGGTTGAGATGTATTTTGTAGAATAAAAGGAATTCTATTTCCTATTTTATGTGCAATGAAAATCATGTCATTTAATCAGTCTTAAGCTGGGGTGAGGATAAACTTCCTTAATGAAAAGAAACAGGACCCGGAACCAAATCCAGGATAAAGTGACCAGTGTTTTGAATGTTCTGTTCACGCTTTCTCTTTCTGCTGTGTTCTCACTTCTCCTTTCTGGCAGAAGACATTCATTTCTGCAGGCAATTTATACATGAAAGATTTACTTGATATGTTTAGTTTCACCATATATAATAAGTTTTATTTGCCTCCAAAAGATTGCTTCTGTCAGCAATAGATGCAGGAACCTCAGAGTTGTATTATGTGTCCATTTTACAATTGTTTGAAAACCTGCACCTCCCAAGGGTGGGAAGTCACTGGCTCCTCGCTGCGCAGGCTCTGTGTGTCCCTCTGAGGAAGTATGTCCTGGCCACTTGGAGATCCCCTGGCGCTAGGGTTATCCACCCCCTGCTCCTCCTTCTCTTCCCCATGTCAGACCCTGGGGCCACTGGGACAGGCCCGTCTTTCCATGGAGAGCCCCAGTCACAGAGGAGGAGATGGGAGGGAGGAGGAGATGGGAGGGAGGAGATAGTCATCAGCACACCCCGAATTTCAGGAACTGCAGTGGGCAGGCTGGATGTGTTTATTTGGTTCCTTTTTGTGTTTTTGTTATTTTTCCATCTTCAGTTTCTTTTCTGCTTATGAGAGTAAAGAGAACCAGTTATCTTGTTTAATGTGCACATGAACTCTAGGTTGCTGTCACATTCTGCTGTTGTTACATGTAGGGCACCGAGGCAGAGTGAGGAGATCCATCACCTCACAGTAGACTGCAGGTGAGGTGGCCAGGCTCAGGCCCACGGGGGAAAGCCCCGGCCAAAAGGCCCCCTCCACCCTGACTTCCACCCACCCCCCAGCCCTGGGCCTCCACACGTCCAGCCCCACGGTCCTGGAGAGTCCCCGCTCCAGCCTTGGACCCTCCAGCGCCTGCAGCCACTGCTGCCCCTTCTGGTGCCTCAGGCAGAAAGAGGCCCCCCGGCCCCCTGCCCTCCACAGCAGTGACAGGAGCCTGGGGAGTCCCAGGGAAACTCAGGTCATGGTCAGTGGGAGACTCAGTGCACTGAGGCGGGCCTGGGTTTCTGTGGGAAAAATGTGCCCCGAGTTCCGAGGAGGGACTGAGGAGTTGGCTTGGGGGGCAACCTGCTCAGCTGGGCTTTCTCTGTCTCGTCGTCATGTCTAGTTTGGGTGATTAATAAATCACTCACTTAGAAATATTTTGTGTTCAATGAGCTTACCAGTTGGAGAGTTCGTGTCCATGCCACGGTTTTATTCTGTGGCGTGTATCGTGCTTTTATAGCTCAGGCTCTCACTGGAGAGTTTTAGTTTTGTGGCTTGGTTTTAAGGAAGTTGGATTATGCTATTTTGGCAATCTTTTTCAAGTTGGAGTGTGGTTTTTTTACTTTTTCAGAAGAAGGGGGCCGATAGTGGCCACCCGTTCATAGCCAGAGAGTACCCTCAGAGAAGAGGGTTAGGTCTGGTCTCTGTGGGGGGCATGGCTGGGCCATGGTTGCGGGCAGGGAGCGGATTCCAGCTGGAGAGAAGGAAGAACATTCTAGCGTTATAGAGAAACTTAGCAGGGAAATGGTCTGCCTTGTGGGAAGTTATTCAGACAGAAGTGTGAGGTCGAGCTGGAGGTATATGGGGCATTGTGAAGAAATGAGGAAAGGAAGATGCCCAGTTGCTCCTGGAAAAAGGAACCTCTCACCTCTCCTGGTCTGGTTCCGCACGGAGCCGGAACCACGGCCTCATAGAAGCCCGTTCTTGTGCCTTCCTCCATCGGTCAAGCTCTGTGCCAAGAGGCCTGCCAGGATCTCCCCAATCACTGAGGCCTCCAGAGGCGGATGTTGCAGCTGTGACCACCTCACCTTCTGAAGTCGGGGTGTGGAGACTATCGGGGAGCTCCCAGAGGGCCCATCTCCTCCTGCGCACAGCGTCTGTGCCAGCAGGAAAGCCGGGGAACCATGCAGCTCTGGCTTTGGGGGATGGTGGCAGGTCCACGTGACACCAGTGCTCTAGCTGCTTCGCAAACATTCCGTTCTTGCCAGCCTCACCCTGGGGTCCCCCTACACGTACCAGTCCTGGTCCTCCATCCCTGTGTCATCCTCATGTCCCGTGCCTCAGCTCTGCCCTGAACCCACTCTGTCCACTTGGCTGCCACCTACTCGTCCTCCATGCAGACCTCAGTCTTGGCCCTGTCTCTGCAGCCATCCTCCTGCTCCCCTCTCCTGAATGCTGGCGCTTGTCCCTACAGCAGCAGCAGCGATCTGCCCGGCCCCTGCACTGGACCTCTCCACCAGCTCAGAGCCCCTGTCCCCCCAACTATCCTGCGTCCCACCCTGGTCTGGAAGTCTAATGGCACCTCAGGCACACGCGGTTTTGCTCTTCTCAACTTGACCACCTGCCCCCATCCTGAGCAATGGCCACTGTCAATTTCCTGCCCGTGCTAGGAGCAGCTTCCATCATTTTAATTATTCATCTGTGTCGGTGCTTTTGTCCCCCCAGCTGGTGTGACCTCCACATGGCAGGTCAGGGTTGTCCCAGTGCCCAGCACAGCAGCTGGCGTGAGAACTGTCTGTTGAGTGAATGATCCGGTGTTCAGCAGACATCAGCCAGAGCATTGGGGCGAGGCTTGGGCGGGGACAGTGGCTTCCAGTGATTTTCCTTTTGGTCGTGAAACCTTCTCAAAAAGCACATACACAAACTGAGTAGAAACAGCACAGAAGCAGAAACTCCTGTGTGACTGGCGTGGGGGGTGGACCCACCGCCGCAGCCGCCTCCTGGGCTGCTCTGCGTGCCCGCCAGGCTCTTCCAGTGCCTTCATCCGCCACGCAGGCCTTCGGTGCTCGGACCTGGCCATGGCCGAAGATTCCGGCTCCACCCGCAGCTTCACAGCCGACAGGCCAACCTCTTGGGGCAAGTCACTTTCTGTCTCCTAGTCTTGTGTCTTCATCTCGCCTGTCCTTGTTAGGGAACAGGCACTGAGGCCTGGGGAGCTGTCACAAACGGCTGCCTGATGGTGGAGGGTTATTGTAATTGCCGGATTAACTTGGGGGACTTTAAAGTGCATTCCTTTTTAAAATATGAAGTATAATTGTTGATATTTTTGGCAAATGCCAAAATTTGTATTCTATAAAATTTTGAAAGAGAAAGGGAAAAGCTTGAGAGTAGTACCATCAGTACTTATATAGAATTAGTTGATAAATTTACATTTACATTTTCCTCATCAGAAAAACAGTGCAGCCTAATTGCACATTTTCCAAAAATGTTTGCTAAATAGCAGAAACAGAATGTTAATTTGTAATGCACTATTGTGGGAGCAGTTGTTTTAACCAGAACCCTTTACTTGGTTTAATATGTCACATTCTTTTGGTTTGCTTTTGGACTTCAAAGTGATGCTCAGAATAACAGTGTATTTATAGGGTGTGGAATACTGTATTAGTATTTGTAAACAGGCGTCAGACTGGAGATTTTCAGTTTTGGAAGCGTGGAGACTTGATTTCTGCCAGGATGCCTTCCGATGTACTTGTTCCTTTCCAACTCTATGAAATATTTGGAGAGAGTTTTTATTACTAATTTTTAATATTGTGAAATTATTTTTTCAAGCAAACAAATTCAAAGGCAATAAAGCCACTAACTGCATACCTATATTCCAGAGTTAACGTGTGCGAGCCTGGGGGCCTGTGCCTGAGAATCGACTGGCTGGGGCGACCCCAGAAGCCCTTGGTGCCTCTGTGGCTGCATCACCTCCCCAGAGGCCATACTTGGAAGCAGGCACCACCCC